CAACAAATGTCTCGAGCGAGACTACTATTCCTTCATGAAAGAATACATCGAGCTTCATCACATGATTCGCATACCTCACCCTGGTAGCTTCGTAAACTACATACCACACCNCGAAGGTAACGGAAGCTTCGTCACTCACCTTGGAACCGTCACTTGATCAGATTTTGGAAAGGTTTTGGCTTATCGAACACAATCCACATCAAACACCACCAAGTCTAACTGCTGATGAAATTGAGTGCGAAAAATTCTTCGCAGAGACGACAAAGAGATGCCCCAACACCAATAAGTTCATCGTTCGTTTGCCTTTTAAGGAATCACCACAGTCATTGGGCAGCTCGTATGATATAGCACAAAAACGACTAGTGTCCATCGAAATCAAACTTCGTCGCAACAAATGTCTCGAGCGAGACTACTATTCCTTCATGAAAGAATACATCGAGCTTCATCACATGATTCGCATACCTCACCCTGGTAGCTTCGTAAACTACATACCACACCATGCAGTCGTGAAGTTGGATAGCAGCACCACCAAACTTCGCGTCGTGTTCGATACGTCGTGTCGTACATCTAACGGCAAATCACTCAACGACATTCTTCGAGTTGGACCTACAGTGCAAGATGATTTGTTTTCAATTCTCCTTAGATTCAGATGGCATGTCTTTGTGCTGATGGCTGACGTCGCAAAGATGTATAGACAAATCATCGTGGACAAGCAAGATGCACAATGGCAATGCATTTTGTGGCGCGATGAGATAACTGACCGCATAATCACATACCAGTTACAAACAGTGACCTACGGTACGGCATGTGCGCCGTACTTGGCCACAAAGTGTTTGCAGCAGCTGGCATGCGAACACATGTCATCTCATCCAATCGGCGCTTACGCCGTCCATAACGACTTTTATGTAGACAACCTGATGACGGGTGCCTCCACTATTGAAGAAGTTGTCGAAATTAAGAAGCAAGTCATCGAGGTGCTGAACAATGGGGGATTTCCATTGAGGAAGTTCTCATCAAATGATACACNGCTGAACAATGGGGGATTTCCATTGAGGAAGTTCTCATCAAACGATACACGCATAATCGCAGACGTACCAGAAGCAGATCGTGAAGACGTCATACAGCTTGATGACATTGACTACATAAAGGCACTGGGCCTTATGTGGTCCCCATCGCAAGATAGTTTTTTGTTTCGCTACACACCACCACCACCATCATCGAAAGTGAGTAAGAGAACCATTCTCTCTCACATTGCTAGATTCTTCGACCCGCTGGGATTACTCAACCCACTCATTGTCACCTGCAAGATTTTGTTGCAGCAATTATGGAAGCTTCATTTGAATTGGTACGAAAGTGTACCTCCTTGCGTATACACACAATGGGAGTCATTCTGCGC